TGGCACTAAAGTCCCAACAACAGATGCATAATTTCACAACAAAACTACTATATGGCCAAACTGCCATCTAAAACCTACAATAAAAAAGAAACTTCCCTACCAAGTTCGGGGCTCCAACAGACAGCCGTGACCACCCAACCGTCTACACTCAAACCGCAAGTTATCACTCTACATTGAAGAAAGTAAAAGAGATGAGCTATGAAACCCAGTAAGTAGATCAAAGTGCCATGCATTCCTGCCTATACACAGTTATTCATAATCGTCCCCAAAATTCATGCAGGTTTTACAATATGGAGTCATGCATCACAGTTCAATGTATCGTTAGAAATTTCTTTTATGGTGGAGCAAGCACTAATCAAATATGAGATATCAGATGAGCTAATAGTTTATCAAATCTTTCCATTGAAATAATAGATCAATAATTCAAGCAAATATATGATAACTGCAGGCAATCCTAATATCACATATTCTCGAAGTAAAAACCCTATCAATCAGGCTAACCCAAATCCCATTGTTTATGATTTCTACCCTTACTTTGGAGGAAAGATAATGACAAATGGATGACCCATCTCATAATATCTTCACACTCACACGCACAATCCCCAGCGCGCTTTGGAGGGCGTTACACCACCATTGGTTAACCCAATGCATAGTGCCACTTATACATATATTGGGGGGCACGATCCTCCAATATGACTTACATCCTAACCCCCTTCCTATCATCGAGAGTCAGGGAAAGATCTCAATTGCTGGCATAACTTTCTTATCATATCATATCACATTATTATCATACCATACCATACTATCAATGGATAACCCATTAGTGCTTCATATCACATCTGTAGCATGTCTTATTATAACCATGCACATTCAGCATTTCATAGGCAAGTCTTATTACACATTCATCATTTCATAGCCATGTCTTATTACAACCATGAACATTCAATATTTCATAGGCAAGTCTTATTACATATTCATCATTTCATAGGCATGTCTTCTGACAACCATGCACATTCAATATTTCATAGGCAAGTCTTATTACACATTCATCATTTCATAGGTATGTCTTATTACAACAATGCAAATTCAATATTTCATAAGCATTCACTATTTCATAACAGAGCCAAAATTTTAGTGTGATAGTCTCACCGAAAAAATGGCCATAACTTTCAAACCATAGGAAATTTCATCATGGCTTCAAAACCATTTTGAAAATAGACTCGTTCATATTTCATTTAGAAGTAGTTTGGTCTCATTCTGAGACATTTTGGTCAGTAAACAATGCTACACGAAACATGTGATAGTTCTAGAAAATTCAGCAGAAAATCTAGTGTAGTATCCTTGTAGAAAAACAAACCTACCATTCGAATCACAAAGAATTTGGTCATGTTTCCAAGACCATTTTCAAAATTGATTAATACATCTTTCATTTAGAAGTTGTTTAAGCTCATTCTGACATATTTTGGTCAGTAAACAATCTTACACAAAAATATGTAATAGTTCTGAAAAAGTCATACCTTCACAACAGTGACATCTTCATAGAAAAAGGGACATAATTTCCAAACCACAAGGAATTTCGTTTTATTTCAGGACCATGTTTAAAGTAGAATCACTCATCTTTCATTCAAAAGTAGCTTGAGCTCATTCTGACATGATTTGGTCAGTCAACCGTTCAATACAAAAACATGTACCTTTCATAATTCTAGCATGTTCTAGCAAATGGCTTATAACTTTCCAATCAAAATAAATATTGATATGGGGTCTTTCCCTCTTAAAATAAACTCACTTGCCCACAAAATTTTATAATCAACTGAAATAATTTCAGTGCCCAAACAATTAGTCAAAGGGGAGTCACAATCCTAGAAAAATAAAGTGCATACTTAACAAAATTTTGAAAGCCTTTTTCCCCATTCACATCCATATCCCTGCTCAATTTTCATGATTTAACAAATAAGTTGAATATACATCAAACAAGGCATAAAACATGGGATCTTAGATCCACTTACCTGCACCAAAAGACTCTAAGTTCTCTCCCCACACAAGCCAAGCTTCCAAGAAAGGTTACAAGCTCGGGGTTCTAAGTGTTAGAAAAGGGAGGTCGTGGGTGGAAAGAGAGAAATATTCTTGAGAGGGGTGTGAAGGGAGATGCAAATAAGCAAAGAGGGGGTTGCAACATGCCAGGGGCACACAAGTGGCATACAGTGGCTAGCATGTGGCATACAAGTGGCACACATGTGCCATATGGCACTCATGAAAGAGCAAGCATAGAAGTTCCCTAGACTGCCCTATACATTCACTCTCAGCAGTGTTGCGCACGGCGGTGACGCGTACGGCGATGACGTGTACGATGGTGTCGCGCACGGCGGTGACGCGCACGGTGGATTCCTCTTCATGCACGACGGCTTCCTCCTTCGTAGCAATGCTCATGGCAATAACACGCAAGGCGGTGACGCACACGGCGGTGATGTGCACGACAGTGACTCGTATGACGGTGTCGCTTAGGGTGGTGACGCGCACGGTAACATCCTCGTCACGCATGGCGGCTTCCTCATCATGCACGATGGTGTCCTCATCACGCACGGTGGCTTCCTCGTCATGCACCGTGGCTTCCTTCGTCATGCATTGCGGCTTCCTTCGTCACGCCCAACGGCTTCCTCGTCCCGCATGGCGGCTTCCTTCATCATGCACGATGGGTCCGTATATCATCTGTAGCAGCTGTGCGTCAACAACATCTCCTTCATCTGTCTCCTGAAACCTTGACGGTTCACCTTCCTCAAAGATTGCAATAGGAAGAAGCCCATCTGTAAATTCCTTAATCCCTAGACTAGAAACATTCACATTCTCAACATCAATTTTAATCACCTGCTCGTGGCCAATCACTACCATCACTTAACTCGGGTGGCTTTGGAAGGAAGCCACTACTGCTTTCCTATAAGGCATAAACCTCTTCATCTCTCCACACTCTTTGTTTACTATGCACCATTCTCTGGCTCGGTATACCCTTAATAATATTACAAACCAGAGTACCATGGCCTGAAACCACTATATCCTCCTGAGCCTCTAGCCATAAATCGTTGTTTCAGTTATCATGTCTTCATCTTCTCTATACATTTTTGTCGCCACCTGTCCCAACTCATCCTTCCTGAGAGATTTCAAAATCTCAGCGGCCTTTTCCTTTAACTAACCACTGACCAAAAGACCAATTTGCCCACTCCTCTTTGATTCACTAATCTTAGTCGATGCTCTCATATCCCTGCTAAAAGCCCTTGATCATCCGTATCAAAACAACATACACCCCTTCTGATTTACATAATTCATATTCTCATCCTGTTCCCTCCGATTATTCTCATCAATTGATAAACGTTCTGTTTTTTCTTTCACACGCCACTCCAATTTGTACCCATATCATTCATTTGAATTTTATCTCGATACATCCATGTGCGTTTGTGATACAATCGGATCGTCTCCCTTTTCTCTCAATGGAAGCTTTCTCTGCACCTTTAATGGCCAATATGTATTCTGCCCTTTATAAGTATTTCCAATCTCGCTGTGCTAGCCATTTTTAATATAAACTAATGTTACCATACATGTGACCTCATCCACATATAAATTATATGTGACCCTTGCTCACAACAGTCTGATCTAAGTAGAGTTGGCTCTTGATGGACAGATCTTAATCCTATAGCTTAAAGTGTTTTATTTTTATTTTATATTTTATAAATTATTTGCAGCGAAATTTGGGCATGCATAAACTAACAGGGACACACAATGATAAAAATAATACATAATATTTTTGTGATAAAAATTACTAAAATACCCATGAAACTTCCGTCAGAAATAACTTTTTTTTTTTTTGTTTGTGTGCTAGGTGCATCTTAATATGAAATGGGCACAAATTCACTTATAAATATTTTATCGAGAAAAGATAAAAAATCAAACAATATTTTGGCCTGAAATGGTTACATGAGCTATCTCAGTCTGTCTATTCAAATCGAACCACCGAGAACTGGGATCCAATAGATTACACGTCGTTAGAGTTAGGGCTAAGAATGGATCGGATCAGGTCCGAATCTGGAAAGTATACGGGATCCGAATATGGATCCAAACCTAATCAGATCTAGAATTTCAGATTGAAATCTGCATCTGAAAAATATACATGGGATTTAGATTCGGATTTGAACCCTATCATATAAAAAAAAACTAATTTATATATTATTTTATATTTATAAAAATAATATATAACAAAAAACTATATAATATGTGTGTGTGTATATATATATATATATATATATGGAAAATTCTTCCCAACACCTATAGCAGAAAATGAATAGTGATTTCGCCTACCCTCATCACTGTCCAAAGTTCATCGCATGATTACCATTTTTCGATAGTGTTTTATTTTTCATTTTTTTCTAAAAATAAGAATGATCTGAAATTTGGAGCTTGTGTATATCTTAGTGATGCGCACTTAATAAAAATATATACAAAATAATTTGCATTAAAATGATCAAAATACCCCCGAAACTTTTTGGGGGAATTTTGGTCAATTTATGTCATGTAAAATATTTTTTTGATATTTTTTTGTAGATTCTCTTATTTTTTATGAACACATGCTCCAATTTCTGATCATTCCGATTAGTAGAAAAACAATGAAAAATGAAACATTACCGGACAATCGTGATCGTGAGATGAACTTTGGATGGTGAAGAAGGTAGACGAAATCACTGTTCATTTCGCCTATTGGCATTTTGTAGTATCTTCATATATATATCTATAGTTTTTTTTTATTTTTATTTTTATTTTTTTTATTTTAAAAATTGGGTTGGATCTAGATCAGGTCCACTTGTACTCATATTTCGATTAAAATTACTATTTGGATCCAGATCCAATCGGTTGGATCGGTTGAACCCAAATCTTAAATTTATCGGCGGATGCTGATAGCGTCTAAAATTCGAGTTTTGGAACAAAACGGGGACACGTGCAAAGCTTTCCCCGGTACTCGGGAGTCAAGAGGCTACTATCCGAATCAGTTACTGCACCGTCATAGAAATGCAGTGTGAGCCGCATCGACTCTCTCTCTCTTCCACCGTCCAACCATTGGTTGGACTGCGAAGATGAATCTTTCGCAGGTATTTGCCCTAGGTTCCTTTATTGAAATTTGCCCGCCCTCTCTCCCTCCCAACTCCCAGCTCCTTTGAATGCCTGTTTGGTCCCTCTCTCTCTCTCTCTCTCTTCTTTCTAATGGAGACAATCTGCTCTTTGGACATCCAGTATTCTAAAGCAATTTCAACCCTCCTGGCATCTCCCTCTCCCCAAGCTCTTCAGGTCAGCCTTTTATTTATTCAATATTAATTTTGTCCGAAATAATCTACTAATGAAAATTAGTTCGGAAATTGTTGCTTCCTTGCCGTTACTGGAATACTGCTTTGAAATCTCACAACAGAACACTCATTGTACAATTTATATCAGTGAAGACGCTTTAGAAGCTGTTGGAGTTCTGGAATGAAAAGAAAATTAAGAAAAACTTCTTTGTGGCTAGCAAATTTCTTTTTCTCGAATAAGTCTTTCCATCTTTCATTGCCAACACAAATGAAAGGTTGCTTCATTGTTGTTAGCAAAATTATCTAATGGATTTAAAATGTATTGGTACTTATTGATTCTTGTTGTTTACTTATTTTGCATGTGTAACTCTTGCTTAACTTGATCAACTTTGGAACCACTAACTCTTGGTTATCAGCTTCATCAAAATAGCTGATAAGCTTGACCCAATATCTGAAAATATTGGTACATCTAATGGTCCCCGGCTGACAATATGTGTCTTCGAATTTTCTGTTGCATAGTTGATGAAGTCTCATCTTTGGCTACCAAGAAGATGAAAATGCGGTTCATGTTTTCCAATGTACAACTGAAGCTTCGCCTTTTGTCAATGGCAAACTTCAGCTCCTTGCATTTTGGAGGTGATTGATCCTCCAAGGAACATGGCTTACTTTGCTATCTTCTAATCACTTCCTAACAAAATTTCACATCTTTCTTGCTGTGATTTTCGGCATCTGTGGTTTATTTTTTTGGTAGTTCAGCGGTCGAACTTGAGATGTAGCAATGCTAAAGTCAACTGGTAACTAGTTAAGCTCAAGCCCGAGACCTAATCCTTGGTTTTGTTAATAATAACAAAGCTTTCCTTCCTTGATGGTCTTCAGAATGACATACTTTATTTAATGCTTTCCTCTAAACATCAAGTTCCACAATGTTCTCTTAATAACTATGGGCACCCATGCATACCAGAGTGCACAACCTGTTTGGTTACAACGTGATATGGACTATTTTGCACAAACTCAACTTGATGAATTCATAGAAACTCAACTCATGTTAAACTTTTTCATCTTTCAGGCAATATGCATAAATTATCTAGATCATCGATCGTACTGTGTAACTCTAGTTGATCCAATTAGTTCACTGGTAAGGATCCTCTTTATTATGTTCTAAATGTGAACTTGTGAGCTTCAATTGAATCCATGGTTCTTAAGTGGATTCATTCTCGTTGTTCGTATGAGTTGCCTACCCAGGGAAAATATGTGCCACATAGGATCCAGGATTGGCATATATGTACAAAACATCTTCAATAAAATATGTGGCACATGGGCCCTAGGATCAGTGGTCCACATGAATCCGCTTGCCATCTGGCATCACCTGCAAGTCCTCAACTAGGTTCCACTAGGATAACCACGTGATCTACCAAATCCCCTAAAGTAGTCAACTAGATTAACAAAAAATCAATTCCAGAAAAGTCCCTGATTACAAACATTCTATTATTTCCATAAATACTCTTTCTTTCAAGAGAAAATTTGCAATACCAAATTAAGATGGCTAACTTGAGAAAATAAAATATGCTTTATTTGTTTAGAAAATCTTTAAAACCCTTGGAAAAGCCCTTTAAGAAAGTGTGTTAGAAATCCTCAAATCAATCCGACATACCCATGACTGACACATCTCACATTCAAGGAGCTCATGCTTGGCCTATCAAAGATATCCTAGACCTAGAGGAACCATACTGTAGACACGTATCATCACGGACGAGTTTGGTCCAACCAATCTTCTATTGTGGGGGGTTACTCTCTCAGATCATGCCTTTCGATCCATCACTGTACCAAAGAAATTGCAGCTAGAAGTACATATGTTATGTAGGATGTTTGTCTTGGTTTCCTGGCCCTTGTCCTCACAGGCCACCATCTTATCACATAGAAGCAGTGTTTCGAAAAACGTTAGGCGGCGCCTAGGCAGCTGGGGGGGTCTAGGTTGCCCAGCTTCTAGGCGGGCGCCCAGAACCTGGGCAGCCCAGTAGAAAGAAAAATGTCTATATAGTTTAGCAGTATAAGCATAATTGTATAACTGTTAACATTCTCAAAAAAAATGTATAACTGCATAACACATACGAGTTAGGGATTTAGGGCACATCAAATGTATAATGTACAAGTTCACATAGCACACACTCCTCCATACTCCATAAGTCCATAGTCTGATAGTTCATTAAATCTAATATCAATGGGTGATACCTAGATCAATTTCACGTAACTTTGAGAAACCCTTTGATCCTATGGAAATCATAAAAAACTAGTTTTTTGGGGTTTGTCTCTCTCCAAAAAAGAGGCTTTAATGGAGTTTAGGTTTGAAATGAACCTAAAACCCATGATTTTGCCCCTTTAGCATTAAAAAAAAGACAAAAAAAATGCCCTCAATGAGGAGCATTTATGCCCCTTGGCTGGGCGCAGGCCTTCGGCAGCCACCAAGGGCTGGGCGTTGGGAGCCCCCCTAGGCGGGCGCTCGAGGACAACCCGCCTAATTTGGCCGCCTAGGCCTGGGCAAGGTGCTCAAGCCTTCTGGACTGCCTAGGCGGTTCAGAAGGCACTAGGCTGTCCGCTTTTTAAAACACTGCATAGAAGTGCCTTGGTTTCCCTTTGGTCGACAATCCATCTTTGAGCTAATCCAACTCGATGATGCATCCAGAGTCTATTGCTGGATTGTGTCCAGCTGAGGGTGAGTGTTCTACTGTAGCTGACCAATGCTTAGCTGCATGTCAAGATGGAAGTTATATAGCACTCTTAAGTCCTAGTCTTGAGTCTATTCAAAAGCAACACTCATGCCAAAACCACCCTTTTGATTCTCTCTAGAATCCATGGAGCCTGCTTTTATGGTCTATGTCTTCCATGGAGCCCAACGCTCCCACTCAAACTTGGGATCACATTTTTATTAATACCAAAATGCATGTTCACATAAAATATATGGGGAATACACAAGCTATGGATCACCAACCAACTTCTAAGGCCTTTAATGGCGTAAGTTCGAACAGAAGTGCAAATTGCACATTCTTTTGGCAAATTGCATATTCTGTTGGTGACATGTGCTGGAAACCACCCTGTTATCTAGTGAAATCTTTGAAGATGGGGGTGCCAACATAATTTGAACTTTTAGGACTAAATCACTCTGAATGATTTGAAAGGTGAGGGTGTTGAATTTTTATTAAATTGTCTTACTGGATGGGATTTATCAAAGTGTGGAACATGCGTCAAAGTCCGTCTGAAATAATTTGCTCAGTCAAAATAGCATGCGTATTCTTCATGTTAGTTGCTGGTATCGATGTTATCAACTTCACTTCCAAAGCATAACGGTTGAGTTTGTGACCATGGCTATCCAGTAGCATCATGGTTGGACTCTTTTGATGATAATTGACTTATTTTACTACTGGTTTGAAGATGTAAGAAATTGTGCATGTGTCGCAAGGTTTTGGGGATCACAATTTTGTAACAAAATTTGAAGAATCGAATAAATTCCTTTGGACAAAATGCGTGTTTGTGAAACTCTGGTGTCCGTAACATGAAGAAAGGACTTTCTATTAATAACTAAAAAGTGGAAATGGTTGGATATTTTAGAAAATTTATGAGAACAATTATAAAATGGAATAGCGGTTAAATAGCCATTCACTCATACGATTAAAGTTGTTTATGGTTCTCATTCATCTAAAAATGTAAACGTGAGTCACTCATCATTTGACTAATTGCATATATTTAAAAAAGAAGTTGCATTCATATATCATTAAAGAAACTAACCTGTCACAATCCAAAGTCTTCAATCCTTTTGACCTGAAGTGAAGTGAATATATGTAGGAGCATTTGTTTGTGTGGTGTGGTAAAGTAACATGAATGTAAGTTATTGTGTCCCTCAAGCATTGTACGGTTGGGGCCATGCCAATATGCATGCATCTTTTGTTTTGGTTGACTTGATGAATTATCTATTTTTGCTATTTATCAAAATAAAGTTATTATCCATATTTGTTACCATAAAAAAAGGTTATTATATTTTATTTGCATTTGAATTCCTACTTACTGATACACACTTTTGAGAACATTCATGCTTATTTTGCAACCATAGACAAAATTTTGCTTGCAAAAAATGTGTGTTACTTCTGCCTTAAATTTCTATTTTTCCCAGCATTGCTAATCAGCATGATTTTATGAATGAATAATATATTGAGTTCGTTTTCTAATGTAGGGGTATTTTGATCAACTCTTGGCGAAAAGGCAGTGTAGTGGAATCAAAATAAGGCAGTCCAATGATGTAGGAAAAGGTAATGTATCTTTTGCATTTTCACTTAATCGATTGCATTGGCACTCCATATTGGTTATAGTATCATGTTCTTGGGAACATTATTACTTTGATTATTGTTACAGGGATATTTGTTTATTTGTGGTGACATGTTCAGAATTCTACAGAAGTGTTTGTGGAATACAACATATTAAATGTTCAAATGAATTGGATCTTCTTAGTCAACTAGGATGATTTGATATAGAGTGAGGCCTTGGTTGATCTGATCTGGTTTCCTTGCTTGATTTGTCCAGTATTGCCCCTTTGAGCTTATGTAAGATAAGATTTTTCAATTCAATCTAGCTGATTGGTCAGAAACATTAGTGTAAAGCTGAAAAGTTTCATTTATACCCCGAACCAAATCTCTCACTCTGAAAAGAACCGAACCGGCTAGAGAAAGTAGGAAGTCTGAGATCTACAGTAGCACAAAACATTTCCATTTAGCACCATTAGTTGCAGTGCGATGAACCACCAGTAATCAACTAACCAGTAAGTTTATTCCCCCAGTAGTCAACTAGCCAGGAAGTTCATTCCCCTATTACATGCCATGGCACTTGTAACATTTGAATTTTCAGTGGAAATAAAATATTATCGAAAAATAGGATTGACAGGCAAGCAATAACACTGCCGTGTGTAGATTTCTGTGAACATATTTTGAGTCTCCTTAATTGCAAAGGTGGTCTGTGAAACTCCATAGTATGTTTGTGCTCCTTGAGAAGAAATGGAGCGGTAGCCTAGTTAGCATCTATTGTGTATAGGGAATCTGTTTGTTTGCATACTCAACCACTACACAACTTTGTTGGTTATGAACTTCCCTTGGAGAACCTTCAATATTTTTCGTTTTATTGTTTCTGGTGAAGGAAATATCATTCAACTATTATTGTTCTCTATTCAAACTAAATCTTTTGACGATTAACAAAGGAACCCCCGTATCTTATGGCCTGATCCAAGCTGGATAAATCTGATAACCCTGACTCATACCCTCTCCATAATATCTCACTTATCATAACCTTCATTCAGATCCACTCTATAACCTTTCTCTCATCATATAACACATTCCTCTACATAGTGCGATTAGAACATATCGTAAAACATATTCAATTATTCTAATCTTGAAACATATTCCCTATCATAAAATGTGACCACATCGAAGGCCCTCGAGCAGGGCCATCATTGTAATACCCTCCCTCCGCAACCCCCCCGTTCCCAAAACAAAGAAAACAGGGGGAGATGTACCAATTTTTGATGGTTCTAAAGTGATTAAAATGAAAAATTGAGTTCTTTTCGATTTTGAAGATTTTGATAAAATTACTGGATTCCTTGGCCGAAAGTTCGAGTTGATTTTGTGTTTTAGATTTCGGGGGAAGGTTTGGCAAGTTATTGAAAATTCCATAGGGCAAGAAGGTAAAAACCTAGAAATCATAGTTTCTTGCAATTTTGGATTTGATATTGACATCAAAATTTACTTATGTTGTTTGGATGTTATGTAGTTATCATGTACTTTAGGCTCTTTTGTATTTGGCATTTCGGCTATATGCGACAGTCTAGTTAGTTGCTGGATGCTAATAAATATTGAAGTGCTTGGTTGCTATAGTACATATTCCTTTGTGTTTTGTACTTTTATTTTAATGGACATGTTGGATCAATTTATTTTACATGTTAATTGCATAAGAGAAGAAACAAACGATGTCATTGGTACTCTTTATGAGTCTATTGGCGATTGAGACAATGTATTTGTTATAGATGTTAAAACACTTGTTATCTCATAAATCACATATTCATGTTATTCTATGCCTCTTATGGTTTTTATTAGTTTTCAAAATTATTGACCGCTTCGAAGTCATGCACCCAGAATGTGGTCGCCTTTAGCCACAGTGCATTCAAATCCTGCATTTGATAACATTGTTTTCTTTATTTCGTATTAAGTTAAATATTTGGAGAATGCAGTGTCTTCGGGCATATAGAGGCTACTTAACTGGAGAATAAGTGGAGGAAATGGTGACACATAATTTTGCATATTTGGAGTAATATTAGTTGAAACAGTAATATTGCAGTGTTGTTGGTTCAAATTGGGGTATTGCATTACCCATGAGCAAAAATTTACCTGCCTTGCTGCCAAGGCTGACTAGGAGGCTATCAGAACTACATGGGCCCTATTCAGATGCGTACTATGGGCCCGCCTAGGCGGACAGCCTAGGCTAGCTAGCTGGCCTGATGGAGCCCTTGGCCCTAAAAAGACCCTATCCAAGGGCACCAAGTATTTGATGCGAGGCACCATTCTCTCTCTCTCTCTCTCTCATCCACTCACACGCACACGGACCCATATGGTCTCTCTCTTTATAGAGAAAGAGAAGAAAGTGACCTCTAAGCATTTGAGCGAGGTCTGTCTCTCTCTCTCTCAGCCTCTCTACATACAAATAAGAAGAAAAAGAAGACGGTCTCCTAGTGTTTAATGTAAGGCCCTTCTCTCTTTCTCTCTCTACGGGCCCATATGTTCTTTCTCTACGTATAAAAACAAAAAGATGACCTCCAAGTATTTGATGAGGCTTTGGTCTCTGACTCCAAGTGTTCTATTCGAAATCTCTCTCTCTCACACATATGGATCCATATGCTTTCTCTTCATCAATGTTTAAAACCAAAGGATTGAGGACCTGAATCGCTCATCTAGAAAAGCAGTTTGGATCGGCGGTCTGGATCGACCCGATCCAATCTGAAAAAAATTTCAAAAAAGCACTAAAAATTGTTTTTTTTTGAAGAAGAAAATGTAGTAAAAATTGTTATAACAGATATTCTAGTATTTTGCAAAAATGTGTGAATATTGAGATGCTGTTTGTTGTTTGAGTGTCTAGTGATATTAATTTTGATACTAGTTTTCTTATAGTACTTTTACAATATTTTTGATATTCATTTTGTGATTTTAGTGAAGAAATGAGGAAGAAAGTGATTTTTTGTACTAATTTTGTGATACTAATTGTCATTATTGTGTGTGATTTTTCTCTCACACATATTGGACCTCTCTCTCTCACGTGTTGGGGTTATGTGGCCATTTGAAGGCCTTATGAGAGCATGTACAGAAAACATATAGTGAAATGTTGGCTCTAGTGGGAGTGTGGTCCACATTGAACTGTGAGGCATTTCTGATGCCTAGACTCACTTGAGCTTTGATTGGTTATGATTCAATTTGATGTCAAAAAACCCATAGTCCTGATTATTGTATGAACACAACTGATAAGAGTCTTCGATGTGGGGTTATCCCTTGATGAGGCGGAAGTGTGCCCAGGACAGTTGGCTAGGGGCCATGGATTTGACCCCTGTATGTGATGGATGGCCTGAGAGGACAAGGGCCTAAATCCTCAATATTACCATCACAAGGCACGTACGTTAGATAGTCGTCCGGGAAGTGGTCCTTTTGGATTAGGGTGTGTGACATGTACATGTGCAGAAAAGATGATTCCTTGCAACACTGGACTATGTTGGAAGGACTCATAGAGCATACTGTTGAAATGAGGCTTGGGCTTGTGCTCAAGATGAGAACTGTAATCCATGGGCTAAGATCATATCTCCTTCATTTATTGTCTGACTTCGACAGTCCAATCATTAACCCTCTGTGAAGGGCTGTGGGTCATAGGAACTGTTAGGTCAGTTTGAAAAGGTGTAGTGAGACACGATCTCTAGAGAGAATGGAGTTCTCAGTATATTTGTCATAATCCTAACTTTATGGATCCAAAATCTCATCAAATCTTCTTAGATATGTTTAAATATATTTTAATTAATTTTCAAATAATTAAAATGTTTTTTAGACCTTTCTAAGCATTTTATTTTATTGAAAAATAATTTTTAAATAAGAAAAAATCAATTTTTTGGATTGATTTTAATCAAAAAGAAAATTAAAATATTTAGAGGCTTTATGAAATTATTTTATTATCTGAAAATAATTTTTAACATTGGGCGCCCATTAGGGCTCATTGGGACCACCAATATATGGGCGTGGGACCCACATGACCACCCTATGAGTGGTGCGCCCCACCTCCTCCATGCTTTCCTAGATTAAAATATGGCAATTAAGCCATGTGTTGACTTCAAACTTTTAGGAAAAGTTTTATGTAGAGATTTTGATTATTTTCAAAAAAGGAAAGTGTAAAAAAATTAATGGAATATAATTACTACTTTCTCTGCGCAATATTTGATGGGAATGGAGTTATGAAAATTGAGAGATAATGGTTCCACCTCATTCTTTTAATCACGATGGCTGATCTAAGGAATGAACGGATGTGATCTCTTCACCCCACAGGTCTTCGAGATCAAAGGTCAAGATTGAATCTCATAATGATGGCAAAACCCTAACTCTAGAAACCCTGGCCTTTATTCTATATAAGCTAGCTATGGGGGGGTTCATTGTCTACACCCTAACTCTCTTTGTCTCTCTGAGCCTCAAGGGGGTGGCACATCCTTCTCTAAACTTCTTTCATCTTCTCTCTCTAAGATTAGGGTTTAGGAAAGAAAACAAACCCAAGTTGTGGGAGAGATCTTGAACCAAGATCCCGTGTGCCATTTGTGGGAGAGACCCGGTGTAGGGTGTACGAAGTCTTTGGGGATAACTTGAGGCAAGGTATGCAGTGTCTTCTTGTTTCTTGCTTACTTGATTCCATTATGCCTTTATGTAATTTTGTTTCAATGGCAAGCAAGTGAGAGTTCTTGGCAATTTTATTTGATTTATATTGTATTCGGGCACTTGTGAATAATAGATATGGAGACTTATGGCTTCACTGAGGATATGACCTTTAATAGAGGAGAATGGAGAACTAGGATATATGTAGCCGACCCAGGCTAAAATGATGGTGATGTTGGCACTTGTGAATGATTCAAGTGGCAATACAATAAGAAAAGATAGAAACATTTTAATCGGTAATGACTTGCCCGGTTACATAGTCTACCTTTCATCATGTACGCACACAAAAAGCACATTGGACGTCTCTTTCTCAC